AAACTCTTACCTATCAATAATTACACTGAATGTAAATGGACTAAATGCACCAGTAAAGAGCCAGAGACTGGCAGAATGGATAAAAAAACATGATTCGTCTATATGCTGCCTACGAGACACACCTTAGACTTAAAGACAGAAATAAACAAAAACTCAAAAGATGGAATAAAATACATCAAGCAAACAACACTCAAAAAAGAGCAGCAGTGGCAATATTAATCTCTGACAAAACAGACTTTAAAGTAAAATCCACCACAAAGGATAAGGAAGGACTTTATATGATGATTAAAGGATCAATACACCAGTAGGACATAACTATAATAAATATTTACGCACCCAATGACAGGGCTCCAAAATACATAAAACAAGCTCTAACAGCACTGAAAAGAGAGATAGAAAGCTTCACAATAGTAGTAGGAGACTTCAACACACCAGTTTCAGTGAAGGATAGAACATCTAGAAAGAAGCTCAACAAAGGCATGGAAGAGCTAAATGCTACAATCAACCAACTTGACCTCATAGACATATACCAAACACTCCACCCAACAGCAGCCAAGTACACTTTCTTTTCCAAGGCACATGGAATATTCTCCAGAATAGACCACATATTAGGCCATAAAGCAAGCCTTAACAAAATCCAAAGCATTGAAATATTACAAAGCATCTTTTCTGACCATAAAGCCATAAAAGTAGAAATCAACAACAGAGAAAGCAAGGAAAAAAAATCAAACACATGGAACCTGAACAACACCTTGCTCAAAAAGTACTGGGTTATAGAAGAAATTAAGGATGGAATAAAGAAATTCACAGAATCAAATGAGAATGACAAACACATCCTACCAGAAGCTTCGGGACACAGCAAAAGCAGTGCTCAAAGGTCAGTTTATAGCAATAAATGCACACATGCAAAAAGAAGAAAGGACCATAATCAAAACATTAACCTTACAACTGGAACAAATAGAAAGACAGCAGCAAAAGAAGCCCTCTGATGCCAGAAGAAAGGAAATAATAAGAATTAGAGCAGAATTAAATGAAATAGCGAATAGAAAAACAATTGAAAGAGTAAACAAGACCAAAAGCTGGTTCTTTGAAAATATCAACAAAATTGATAAACAATTGGCTAAACTGACAAAAGAAAAACAGGAGAGGAAGCAGATAACCATATAAGAAATGAGATGGCTGATACCACAAAAGACCCAACTGAAATTAAGAAAATCATAACAGAATACTATGAAAAATTGTACTCTAACAAATTTGAAAACCTTGATGAAATGGACAAATTTCTAGAAACTCACTACCTACCTAAACTAACACAAACTGAGGTAGAACAACTAAATAAACCCATAAC